CAGGCAGGGACCCCACTGACAACGCTGTCCTTTGGTACATAATCCTGCGTCATCCTCGGAGTAAATCCATCCTCTATTGAACAAGGAAGAGGAATGAACAAGGATCCTGTGGATTGTTTAATTAAAAACTGCCTCCGTAAGATCCATGCAGCAGCGGGCATCATTCTACCTAAATTTTATCCCCTTTGTTTTTTTTGGGGGGTGCAGTAATATTTAATATATTACAGCAGTCCCTTCCTCCAGTGTAACAGAGCTTGCGACTCCTTTTTTTTGTGCGTTGAGCATATTTATGTGTCCTTCTGTGGCCCCACGAGATCCTTATTTTCTTCCTTTGGAGATAGGAAGCTCTGGGTGGTATGACAAAGAGAGCAGTGAAGGTGGGTTCCCCCAGCTCTCAGCACAGAGTAAAATTGGATTTGGGTGTCTGAGCAATCTGGATGCCTGCCCTAGATCAGTGCTCGATAGCACCAAGTGTTGTTTGCTGGGTTTGGTAACCAGTGAAGGACATGGAGCCCTGCTGTCATCCATAGAGCCACTATATTTTCACAGCAACAGGAGCTGGTGATTCTCTTGTCTGTGACAAATCCGACATAGGATTATTGCATTCAGTTGCCTTCCTCCCTCCTTTTCTTCCTTTCCCTACTTTCCTATCCCTGACACAGCCACTTCCAGTGCCGCTGGAGCACATCTTTGGCAGTGCACTGTGGCTGGTGGAGGGCTCTGAGATCTTTCTCCCTAAAAGAAAGATGTCAACATTGTTTTTGCAAAGCATTTATTCCGTGATTTTTGCCTCTTTGCTTAGTCTCAGATTTTTTTATTACCAAAATAAAATGTATTCAAGTTATTGATTAGCAGAAAAAATCCAATAATTCTTAATTAATTAACTGATCAAAAGCAGGCTGTTGTTTATAGCCAGACTGGAGGATGCTTGCCTTCTCACCTGGGCACATCTTTCTCCTTGATTAATATCTACATAACATTCAACCATTTCTGAGTCTATTCTGCCAGTAAACTTGCCTTCTAGGGACTGTCACTGCAAGCAAAATGTGAAAAGAGTGCAAAACCCATTAGTACAAGTCTTTTTGATTACTCAAAATATATTCCCACAGCCCTAGAGCTGTTCATCAGAGCAGCTTTACATATCTGCATTGTTCATTTCCTAAGACTCCCAATACCCCAGCTAGGCAGAAAAATATTTTTAACCCATAGAGCATGAAATGTAAAAGACCAGGGATAAGCTGTAGCTTTACTCTTACATGAAACACAGACTACGTGTGCATGTCAGTTTTCTCACCTATGTCTGGTTCAAAGAAAAAAAAAAGGCAGGAGGCTATTAAAGTGTCAGGCTGAACTGATGTAATACGGTTCTTCAGCCATAGTGACAGCATTTGGTGTGGAAGACTCTAAGATTCATTCTTGCAGATAGCCCTTGGTGGGGTTTGTTAAGTGTCTATTTATATCTTGATATTTCATGTGAAATATCATGCACTTGTTAAAACATCACTAGAAACACGGGCAAGACAAATGAAGTGCTTAATGATGGCATAAAGCCCATTAAAGGGATTCACATCATATACGTGAGAGAGGGAGAAATGCTGGTTGGTGCAGCCCTATAGCATGAATAGATCTGTCAGATAAACAGGTATTCTGTTGATCCAGTGATTGATCCTGTTCCCATTAAATGGAAAGCAACAAAGCTCTGCTCAGCCAGCCCTTCCTCCCAGGCTGTAGGAGCACTGCTGTTTGCTTTGAGCAGGGTATGAATTTCAGGCTGGTTTGGAGAACACTGATCATGCAATTCCTATAGGCTATTCTTCTGATTTGGGCATTTATTCTTGGTTCTGTGTCAGAGCTAAAAACTCTTTTTCTTCTCTGATCTTCCCTCCCTCCCCTTTCTGTTCCTTTCTGTTTCTTCCGCTCTTTGTACTCCTGCAGGAATAGTGCTGTTAAGTAATTGTGCACTTACAGACGTCTGTGCTTGTGACAGGGGTGAGCCTCAGCCAAACCTACCAGGGCTTGAATTTCCCTCCCCAGACCTCAGGACCTCTTAGTTCAAGTCTGGGATGGCTCGGAGTACAGTTATGGTTGGAAAAGAGCCTCTGTAAAAATTACATCTTGTTGTTCCATATTTATTCTCCCTCAGTGGTTTCCATGTCAAATTTGCTCAGTTTACCAGTCAAAACAAGATATTTCTACCTGCCAGCTCTGCCAGCTCAGCCTGGGCTCTGGAAATCAAGCTGTGCTCTCTCTGCTCTGGACATCATCACCAGCCAAAAAGGATTCTCGAACCGGGGCTGAGCTGGATGTGATTTTGATTATGCATGAATATAATTTGTTCTCAGGTAGTATTATGGGCTCTGTGTGACAGCGGTGAGGCCTCTGTGCTGTACAAATATTGACTAACAAATCTTCCACACAACCGGTGGGCTGATGGGCTTCTGCTAGCTCCATTTTACATCGAGTGGACACCAGGAGCTTGCAGCCTGTTGGGAATGATACAGAAAAACCTGGGGCAGAGCAAGGAATAGAATTGGGAGGTTCTGCTTCCTGCTATTGCTATTTATTCACAAGAACACACCTGAGGGCTGTCAGTGCTCTGGTCCACTGCTTGGTCACCAAACCATGACCTTCCCTTTGACTGTAGTGGCCTGTGAAATCCCCGGAGGGAATGGGTACAAGTGCCCATTTCTTGCTGCAGGGCTTTCTTTAGGCAGCTTTGCCTCAGTGAGACCACAGTAGAAGACGTCTTCAGATTGGGGAAAGTTGTGTTTTGGGAAAGGCCAGTTTCAGAGGAGGCACTGTGGCTCTGAGCAGTTCAGCAAGGAACGCACACAGGAGACTCTTGATTATGGTTTCCAAAGCTCTGAGTGTAAGATTAGAGGCTTCACTCCATGACCAGAGGCCACCCAGGTAATTTACGTGTGGGATCTCACAGCTAGAACAGTGTTAGGTGAGGAAGGAAACCTCCTCCAAATGGGGAGAGGAAGCTCTGCTAGGCAGAAAGGCTGTGTAGCAGGTCTGCAGGAGAGCCCAGTTTGCTGGCCTCTAGGGAAGGGTCTCAGCTTGGCAAGAAATTTTTGGAAGAAAGGGAGAGGGTAGACTATGATCTGATTTTCTCTTCTTATTCTCCTTTCATAGCAAAAATAGAACATTCATCACAAGTTCCCCTACATGTTTTTCTTCTCTACTGCACACTAGCTCCTTGCTAGTATTTGAAGCTAGAGAAAAAAAATTGATGAGTACTCAAGTTAATAATGCATGATTATTATGTTGATGAATTGCTGGAGATGAATATATATGTAAAAGCTCTGCAAGATTCGCTCATCCATGCATCCTGAGTGAAAGCAATTATTTTGGTGAACAAATTGCAGTTAGTCGTATCTCTTAACAAGAGGTGCTGGGGTAAAAGGTGGCCTGGGAACTCGTCCTGCTGAATCTCCAGGGCGTTTTTGCAAACTGATCACTACCTGATGCAAACACCAGCGTGAGGGTCAGTCTTTCAGAAGTGACCAATGTACAAATCTGAATTCTTCTTCCTACAATGGTCTTGCAATTTTCAGTTATCACTGAATTTAGTGAGATTTTTTCTGTCTTGTAACTGGGAAAGAAAAAAAAAAAAAAAAAAAAAGCAGAACCTGAACAAAACACATCCAAGAAATTAAGAAACTGGGAGATGAAAAAGTATAATCCCATATATAACATTTGGAAAGGGGGAGGCTTGTTTGTGTGTGTGCTTTGCTTCTCATGATTTCTAACTCAGGCTCATGATTTTAATGTGAATGTCATGATATTTTCAGACCTGACTCACTGCTTTTTTCACTGGCAATACTTGCACTGTAAATTGTCCTGACTGTCACAAGCCTTGGGCACTACAGGACCCCAGAGCTCTGCTTTTGAGCTGAGCCACATGCTTGGGAAGGTAGGGGTACGGGAAGGAGCAGGTGTGTGATACAGAGAGGTTGTGGGGGGAGGCATCCAAAAGCAGCATTAGCAAAAGCCCTAATAGCAGTGCCTATTGGGAAGGACAAGGTGGACACTGAGAAAAGCTATAGGACTTGACACTAAGGACTTGACAGAGGTAATGATAAAGGAATGACCGTTTCTCCCATGGGGACCCCAGCCATCAACTCTGAGCTGTGTTGGAGGATGAAGGACTGTGCCCAGCAACAGCAGGAAATCACCTTGTGGGAGGGATGGCAGGGTGGCCACAGCAGGGCTGTCCGCTGTTCCCCTGGGATGTCCCAGCCCTGATTTCACTATTGTCACAAGTTTGATGTGTCCTGACCTGGTCATTGTGTTTCCTTCAACTGGATTCAACCCAGGAATTAGAGATAGTGGCATCATTTAAAGACATGTCCACAAGCAGTGATGAGGACATGTGACTAACTCACTAAAAATTGAAAACAGGGTAAAAAGGAAAACACCTTATAGTTGTCACTTTGATAAAAATGATAAGTCTAGATATATTGTTGTTGTTGTTGTTACAAATACTTCCAAGACAGAGTAATAGATTGGATATGAACAGAGAAGCTTGTGTTAACCCATTTAAATTAATTTGGTTCGGCTCATTTTCAGCTAAGGGGATTAGATGGCTCGGGATTTGGTAATGTATGAAAAAGTGTTTTCCCAGAGAGGTCACATACTCAAGTACAGCCTTGGTCTGCAGTTGTTTGGGAGGTATTTCCAGGGTATCACAAAAGAGAGCCTCCTCCACAAAGCAGACATTTACAAGTAACACGCCAGAAAAGCCCAGTGCTGAAGAGGTGAGGCAGGACACCTCTGTGCTCTGAGCCCTCTGATGAGATGGGAAGCAGACTGGTGGGCAATGTGGGATAAGTTTCACCAGTTGTCAGCTGGTATGGGGGAAAAAGGACTAAATGGCCTCACCTTTGTGCCACCTGGAAGCCTCACCCAATAGGCCGAGGTGGGGTGGGATGCCCCACATATACAGTACCACCTCTGGGCCTGGGGGCTGTTTGGCTGCGGGCAGGAGGGTAGCAGTGGCTGCTTCTGTGGTTTTCCCAAATATTTATTTATTTATTTATTTTTGTTTTATTTTACTTATTTTTGAATTCCCACCTGCTGGGCAGCTGCAGATGTCCCAGCACTGGGCTTGGACCTAGTGGATAAATGCCTAGCTCTGTCTTGTGGAGTTCAAAATATCTAATGTCTCTGCAATTCTTTCTAAATTTGTGCCCCTGTCCGCATGTCCTACAAAGACAAGGAAATGGCAGCAGCAGGGTGTAAAAGGCTTCCCAGCCTGCCCGAGCTGGGGTCAGGTGGCTCTGGGAACACAAAAGGTGATGAGGAGATGCAGAAAACCTGAGCACTGAGGGCCTAAGTAAAAGCAGAAGGGATGGGTTCCTCCTGAGTTCTTCATAGCTTCCCTGGGTGGGCAGAGATGTGCCCTGCTGCTGTGCTGGCAGGACTTGCAGGGGAAGAGGCTTGCCAGGATCCTGGTGAAGGTAGGAGGGAGCAAGCCTTCTTGGGTGGAGAACTGTGGAGGTCAGTGTGGGTCTGATGGTTCATGTTGCTGATGAAGGAAAAATGCCTGACCTGGGTTGATCTGCTGTTGGTCTACAACGTGTGCTTGCTCCCTGTTGCGCTCCTGCTACCGGTTTTGATGGGGATTGAGAGCTGAAGGAATCTGGGGCACTTGGTGCCTCTGTTTTTCCCAGGCCCAGCTCTGCAGGAAAGGGTATAAAAGAAAAAAAAAAAAAAAACTTGCTCTGTAGACTGCAAAACCAGAGATCTGGTCTGTGTGTGTGCCCTGGAGGACATATGGAGGAATGTCCCCAGAAGGGAAGAGTGGGTGACTGATCATTGCTCTAGCAACACGGTGCACCAGGGTGTTGTCCTCACCTCCTGATGGCTGGATGTGGATCTACCTTCTGCAACAGCCCTGCTCTAACAAAGAAACCAATGGTGGTGGCAGCCCTGCAAAGTAAACTTGCTGTGGTCTGGCCTGGGCATTGCCTACATCAAGAGATGGACTGTACTTGGAAATTGGTGGCTTTGGTGAGGTTGTTCTTTAAAAGTTGATTGCTCAGGACCCACTGGTGATGCCAGGTTGATAACTACCAGACTAGGTAAGGTGATACAGCTGGGTATGTCTGTAAATGAGAACAAATATCCAGTTTCTTTTCCCCTCAATTTGCTGTAACCTTGACAAATATATATCAGCCAGGCAAAAGATAAGCCTACAGAAGGCTTTGGAAGGCTGTCTCATCACTGAGGGTGAAATTGCTTTAAAAGTCTGTCTCCTGAATACTGACCTACAGTCTGTTCTACCGAGAACTCTGGGAACTCAGGATTTTTTCTTCATACTGAAAGTCCTGTGCATGTACAAGTGCTTTGCTGAACTGAGCTCGCCAATAGTACAAATGTTGTAAGGGTTGGTGTCTACTTTCTTGTTCCATTTTTAAGCCTGTACATTAAGATCTTGTTTTTATTCAGCCTGGGTAGCTGTCTACCAGCAATCTTTTAAAAATCAACCTTGATTTAGCTTCCTCTGTAATCCTTCAATACCTCTGGGACAACCTTTACACTGTTCTTGCAGCCAGTTGATTGTTGTCTCTCACTTCCAAATTTTCATGGGATATTTGCAATATCCCACTCTAATACCTACTAATCCATTAAAAATACCTATGAGATAGATTAGGTAATCCACTGTGCCTTGCAGATTGTGCTCCTTAGCTCTCTGCTTTCCCTGGAACAGTTGCAGAACGAGCATTACATCTGCATTGGGAGAGCATTGTTCCTCCAGAAGGATCCCTCAGCACTGGTTCCCAAGCAGGTACAGCTTGCTTGAGAAAATCTTCTGTATTCACATCTACAGGGACAGACAACGTAGTGAAACTGTGGCTATTATTTATCAGCATTAGCCCTATGTTTGCAGAGGGCATCATGGGGTAGTACTTGAGTGGTCAGTTCTGCCTGCTCTGCACGTGCTGCATCTCTTGGCTCTGCTGGAGAGTCAGCTTGATTGCTTGCTTCGAGATAAGCCTGTTTCTTACTGAAGTCCCCAACTTCCTCAGTGTTTGGATATTCCAAAGATCTGCTCAAGAAATATTCTAGTCCAGCCCTCCTGGCTTGTGAGTTGCCAGGGCCAGGAGATAGTATGACTCAGAAAAATATATCGCTTGATTATCCCTTAGCTGTTCCATCAAACTTGCGTGCCATCCTTGATGTCACTGTCTTGGCGAGAGCTTGTTCTACCTTCCCATTTGTCTTGGGAAGTCGCTAGTATTCCCTCTTGTTCAATGAGTAGTGCAAGTTCAGCCATCTGACTGGGTGAGTGAAAAACCAGGCTGCCCGGAGAGCAGACTGGTGCAGGCTGGAAATCCTCATTAGCCTCCTCATCCAGGGTTACCCTGTGTCTGGCCTGATGCGGATGGATGGCGAGCCTGGCAAGGTTAGGCACAATCTTGTTTAGTGTTAGAGGCTCAGTGGCTTAAAAGGTGCCAAGCTATGTCCCTAAGAAAGCATGGCAAAAGGCAGCAAACCTGTCAGGAAGAAGAAACTGTTTTCTGTCAGATCCACCTGGAGACCATCTGAATCGGTGGTGGTGGATATCCCTTTGCCCCTGCTTAACAGTGGGGAAGCAGCAGGCGTGGCCAGACCTATATATTCTGGAGATCAGAGCCCTGTCTATTAACTCAGAAACACACTTTCTTCATACGAAGTAAGCAGATTCCTTAGTAGCAAGAGCTCATTCAGCCCCAGTGTTCCCCCACAGCCCTGAAGGCAGTGTAGTAGTTGTTGATTTGCCATGAGACCATCTCTGGTAATGTACTGCAGTGGCTAAAGCCCCCTTTTGCTCTTGTAAATTCAGCAGATGTTGTGGAGTGACCTGGTAGGGGTAGTGGGAGATCTCTGATGGATGTGTGCGACAACTCTGGCTGTTGTGCTGAGGCTGGCAAGCTTACTGCACAGCTATCGGCTGCGGGTGGGGGAAGAGGTCAGCAGTGAGTCATAGAAGTAAGAATGAAATAGAGGAAGAAAAAGGTTTGGAGGATGTTTAATGGATATTTAAACCTAGATTATGTTGAAAAAGTTTACGTAGGTGCTTAAGAGACCCTGCTGAACTTGGCACTTCCAGATGTCACCACAAATCAGAGATGCTGGATGAAAGCTGCTCCCAAAACATTTGTGCTCTCATGATATGTGGTCAACTCTTCTTGCTCATCCAGCAGTGCTAATGCTTACTGAGTTTGTGGTTAATGCTGTACCTAAGCTAGAAGGAAAAGAATGGGGAAGTTATTATTGGAAACTTCATGATTTGACTTGTGTTGCCTGCTGGGATGACATCTTTTAGAAGTTTTCCTATTAACTGCTGTAGCAGAGCCTTGGTATTTCTTGAGATCTATGAGCACAGCAATTATGCAGATAGCAATCTGCAAACTCCTCTTACAGTGTTCTGTTGTGAAAAAACAGGAGCATTTTCATTCTCATGGTGCTGGGCGATAGGTGTGGGCTCCTCCACAGTGAAGGAGTGCCCAGACAGTAAGCTGGGCTCAGAGTTATCTTCTGGGAAGATTTAAAAGAAACTATGGCCCAGGAATAATTAGTCTGTGAGCTGAATGCTATCTGAGAGCATATGTTTTGGGAAGGGCAGTGGGATTTCTTAGGAGGTTGTATGGCGGCATCCCTGCAGCAGCCCCTCTGCTGGCAAGCTGAACATGGCCTGTCGTGCACCTCTGATACCTGGCAGACCTTGCCTCCTAACTAACTGTGTCTGTCAGCCCTTGTATAACCAACTCTTCACTGCACGTAGCAGTGACGTGGGCTGTGGTTTTAAGTTGTAAACAAAGCCAGGCTGCCCTGAGGTTCAGTGCTGTGAACAAAGCAAGGGCAGTGGCTTGGGCCAACCTTTTTCTGCAGAAAGAGCAAGTAGGTACTGAACAGTTCCGCCTCCTGCAGGAAAGCAGGAATAACACTGAAGGAAAAAGTCCTGGGAGTGAAATTAGTCTGTGTGCTGGTCATGCCTTTGGCAAGCCTCAGAGTATCTTAATGGGGGGTAGATGGGGATGGTGACTAGGGGAAGGGGAGGGGAATCAGTGAAAATACAAGTAAGACACTGCAGTCCCATAGCAGATATGTACCAGGAAACCTTGCCCTCTCCATGTCTGTCTGTTCTGCCCTGTTTTTGCAGAAACATTTTTACTAGCCAATGCAGGGCAACCTTGTCTAGGACTTGCTGTTTCTGGGCTCTAGTGCCACAGCTGTCCTCTGTTTTTTTGGAGAGCTGGGGAAGAGGAACATGCATGGGCATTGTGCCCCTTTGTAGGGTGAGACACAGCCATGCTCTATATGTAGATTTAGTGAGTTAAAATTCATTTTTCTCTGACTGGCTTTGTTTATTCACCAGAAGACTTTAAGGCAGCTTTGGTGTTGCAGGGATCTTGGAGATCAGTGATGCCATAGGCAGGCTCCAAACAGGGAACACTGGGGCTCATGCATAGAGTGGTGTTGAGTGATCTTCACTCTTAGCCAAAAGACAGTGCTGCACTCCTTCTTTCTTCATGTATTGCACTCAAATGGCAAGAGTGGGGCTGTCCCATTGACATCTCTAATCTCCTGCACAAATTAAGTAGGTCTCAGAATGGGTGTAGTGGATTTGGGTGTATTCATGCCCAGAAGCCTCTCCAAAGTGGTTTTAGGAAAATATACATTGGAGGCTTTTTTATTTCTGTGCTGGTGACATGTCATCTTTGCTTCAGTGTCTGGTTTCTGGCTACCATGCTTTAAAATAGAGATGTAGACAGATTGGCAAAAGGCCAGAGGAGAACAGCACTAATTGTTAAAGCTTTAGAAAACATGACCTCTGAGGAGAGGTTGAAGAACTCAGGTGCATTTAATCTAGGAAAGACAGTATTAGTGGGGGAGGGAGAAGGATGTCATGGTTTCTCTGTACATAAAAGCTGTTGTCAAAGAAGGATGATTGATTTATTCTCTCACTATCATTGGGGGAATGATGAGAAAAAAATCAACTATACTTGCACTGCAGAGAAGGTTTAGTTTAGATATTCAAGCAAAGCTTTGAGTGCAGTGAAATGCAGGAGGAGATTGTCCAGGAGAGCTAGGGAATTTCTGGTATTGGTGGTCTTAAGTCTGTAGTCTGCTCCCGGGAAGGTTATGGTCTGTGTGACCTCCCAAAGTCCTTGTCAGCCCTTTGTTCCTGCATTTTGGGCTAATAAGTAGGTTTTAGGCTGATGCCTGCCCCTTAACAACTGTAAGCTTTTGCTGTGCCAGCATTGCCAAGTTCACGTGGTCAGAAACGCATGAGCCAGGCTCCTCAAAGCATTGGCTGTAGTTCATAAAAATGAGTGTCTTAGTAGGTGATAATATAATGTAAGTTCTGTTTACCTGCCCGCTATTTTAGAGTCTTGTCTGTGTCTGTATTGCAGTTGGGCATTTGATGGCAGAGAAACCTAAGCTCACTCTAGTTTAACTTTCTGGGTTGGGAGTGAAGAGAGGGCAGTGTGGACTTTAATGCAGACCAGTCGTACAAGTAAGCAGTGAGCGTCTGGAGACCTATTACACAGAATTTTGTGCTGTAGTCTTTGCTTCTTCCTGCAGCTGAACTACCAAGCTGAGATCTGCAAGAGATGTCTTGATCCAGGTTGCCATCACCTTTGGCTGTAGTGCGGACAGACCCAGACTTGGAAGCATGACCCTTCCTCTGCGGTTGTGCTACAAGGATGGCTTCTGTAGCAACACGATTCTAGGTTCTGGGGCTTTAAAGCATTATAAAATAAAATGTGAAAGTAATAACTAGTTGCTGGAAAAATATTGCAGATTAGCACAACTTGTTCTCTACCTTGGCTGTTTTTGTATGTGACAAGTATCACTTGCAGAAAAAGGGCTGATTTTATTATAACTCCTTTGTCTGCTTCCCTTCCAACTTCCCCTGAGTACATTTTTCAGACGTCAAACTGTTTTGAGGACAAAATGTTGGTGACTTTTCCAGTGGTGATGAGAAGCGGAGATGTGTGATGGTGCTATTCACCGGTGGAAGCGGCAGAATTTCTCAGACTCCCTCACTTGTGGGCTTGCCTACAAAACTCTTCTACACATTTTCTTTAAGAGGGGAAAAGGTCTAGTTTGCATACATTGGTAAGGTACAGATAAAAAACATGGATCTTTAATGTCAGGATTTCTTTTGCATCTTTTCAGATCCACAAATGCAGAGCTCTGCCTTTTGGACAAAGTCACAGATGACGTTATCCTGTATTTTAAATACCCTAGTTTTTGTATCCCTCTTGCCTGAAGCTATTAACATTGGCAGAATTGATGTCCTTTGTTTATTTTGTGTACTACTTACAGCCTGAATGTTGGGCACCAGTTGGTCTAGTTTTTCTATGGTCTGCGGAAAGAGGTAGGGCAAGCTTGTTTCTGCTGGCTGTGTACGTACATGCGCATGCATCCCTCTTCTGAGGAGACAGACTGCAAGTTGGTCTTCATGACAGGGATGGAGAAGGTGAAATGACTTTCCTGCAATCAAGCTAAGAGCAAATCCAGTAAAGGCAGGACTTTTGCATACCTTTATCTTGAGTGCTAAATGACAATCTTGTGCTTGTGCCTGCAGGTTGACGGATCCATGCTTGAGGGGCTGCAGGCAGGTGATAGAGCTTCCCATGTGCTGTGATAGATGGGGCACAGAGGTGTTGGCAGTGTCCAGAGGGGCCATTGAGAATATTGTTGACAGTGTGGGGGAGCTGGGTGCAGGTGAGCCCAGACTGATGGGGAGCTGTGCGGCCGATCTCTGCTCCAGCACTTGTCTTGGAGCTGGGAGGTCTGGATCTTATCCACAGCTCTGACACTGAGTCACTGCATGACCTCAGGCGCTCAGATACCATGGTGATGAACACAGCACAAATGTCTAGACAGATAGATTAGATTGGATAGACTCTGAATTTGACAAATATTTGTATATCACCACTGTCAAGGCTCCCCTGTTATTGCCACCCAGTCCAGTTGTTCAGTGGGTTTCTTGCACAGCAGGGGGAAGAGACACTAATTTTTTGCACCAAGGAAGGGACACCTAACCACAGTACCACAAGTCAGTGTTGACAAACTGGAAATAAAGCAGGTGGTAGGGCAGCTCTTGGAGGAAATGCTGCATGGCAGAAGGGCTCAGGAGTGAGCTTTTCTTCAGCTCTGTGGCAGTCCTGATGTGGCCCTTCTCTCCTGTAGCCAATTAGTCTTTAAGGTCCTCAGGGTAGTGGTGACTTCTTCCTCCTGCAATGGCTTCCATCACAACAGGGCCCTGGCTTCAGAAAAGAAGACAAACTACCAGAAGTGAGACTTCCTGAAGAGCTTCAGTGGTGCCACTGTCAGCTTCTGGCACAAAGGAAGATGTAAGATGATCGGCTCTCCTGGGGTGTCTTGTGGTTACTTTCCCACCTAGTTTCCTGGTCACAGATGAGCAGAGGAATACAGCAAATAGATGGCCAGGAACCTGCCCTGCATGGGGATTTCTGAAGGCTCTGCAAAGTTTCCTGAGCACCCCTCTCTGGTACCACTGACAATGAGCCAGAAGTGCTGGAGAAGAGCACTGCCTCTTTAAGGGGATTTACATAGCAGGGCCTAATTACAGTTGTTGATTCTGATGTTTTCAGTGTTGTTCATATTCCATTAAAGGATAATGCTGCTTAATTTGCAGCAGAGGGTCTCGGTTAACAGTGCACCCAATCACAAGGCAGCCCTAATGACACTACTTCCCTACTTCTGGTAACACATAATTAAAAAATCACTTCATTTCCAGTTGTGTGGTTCTCCCCTCTCCCCCAATCTCCTAATTACTTTCTAAGCCATTTCATGATTATCTGCAAATATTTCAGCACTTAGATCTACTAATGAGTCCATGGAAGAGTTAATACCTTGAGTGGCATCGTTGTTTGCCATTCTCTCTCTACTTCTGCATTGCAAGGAATCATTTTCCCCCTGGCACGTGTGGGAAGAGGGGACTTGTTTTGTGGTGGGATTGTTTGTGCTTTGGTTTTGGAACTGTGGGGATAACTAGAGATGGGTGGCATTCAGAAACCCCATCTCAAGCTGCAGGAGGTCTTTTGCTGTTTTTAGTAGTTGCTGAGTATCTTTGCAAATAGTTTTACACAACTTAAATCCCGCTAAAGGGGCTGTCCTGTTGCCTGTCTGTGGGAGCTGCATTTGGACAAGAGGGCAATAGGTTTGGCTGTGACAAACCTTGGGTGGTATCTCTTCAAGCTCATCTTGCATGCTGCAGTCAGTGGCATTTACTGCAGTGTGAGAGTAGCTTGGTCGCTGGGTAAGGGAATATCTGCATTTCCCAGAGAAGTTGTATACAGATATCTATAAGAGTCCAGTGGCTGTGGGCAACAGGATGTGGGGTGGGATGTCCTGATACCAACGGTGAAATGGGGAATTTGTTCTCTAATCCCAGCTCTGCTCTGAAAATCCACCGTGCAAATGCTGCTTTCTCACTTCATGGGTCTGGTTCCTGTACTTGTCTGGTATCTTGGGTATTAAAACTCACTTGGGCATTTCAAACGGTGTGCTGCAGAGCTGGCAGGGTGATGGAGGAGTGATTTGGAGTATCTTTCCTGCCCACGTGTTACATGGGCTTGATTGCTGTGTTCTTTGTATGGTCAATCAGCAACACCTTATGCAAGTCCTCTGGGAGCTTTCTGATGTCTCTGAAGGCGTTATTTGGAATAACCAGAGATAATTGTATAACTAGGGGGTAATTAACTTCCAGGAATTAAAGAATCAAGCTTAGTGTGCGCTACCCCTAGGGGTGAGTCTATAAAGCTGGGAGTTAGAGAAATCTATTCCTCTTTCGTCATTTGAGCACATGTGACTTTGAAATTCTTGAGACTTGGGGAATGTGAGGCTGCTTCAAATCATATCGCAGCATTTCTAGTCGATGCTGTAATAGCAGACGAGAGGAGAGCTTGAATATGATTCTAATCCAGTCCATTTGTGTTTCAGGTAACCCTGTCACAGTGGGAATGAGCATCCATATCTCCAGCATTGACCAGATCTCTGAAGTCAACATGGTGAGTCTGGGAGGAATTTAAAAAAAATAAAAAATAAATAAAGCCTAATAAACTATTCTTCCTCTCTCTGGTTGAGAGGCACACCCAAGACAATGGCTCCTTGGAGTCACCTGAGATCTTAGGATGCCCTTCTAAAAAGAATAGTTATCCCCTGTTTCCATAAACTCCTTCTGCAGGTCTTCCCTGCGGCTGGGAAGCTTTTGGAGGAAGAGTGGCACTTGTCTGGTATTGAATAAGTGTTTTTTCTTCTGATTTGGACACAGGATTCTGAGGGATGATGGGAGCTCTGATTTAAGACAGATCTTCCTCACTAAAACATATGGAATTCAAGCATGGTTTCTCCATGTGCAGTGGGATGAGAAGTTAAACATCACCAGGCTGTTCTAAATGAGTTTTCCAAATTTCTCAGCATACTGGTTTTAGTCTGAGCCTTCCTCTTTCTGTCCATTGATTGGCCTTTGTCACTGGGACTGCCTGTCAATTGGCACCACAGCCCAGCTCCAGGCTCAAAAAAAAAAAGCTAAAGTTTTGCAAGACAAGGTTGGCATGATGGACCTCTCTAGTACACTCCTACCTTTGCTGGCAGTATTTGTGATGTGATTGAAAGACTGTAGTTTGCTTCCAAAGGTGAAATAAATTCTAGTAGGGTTAGTGAATGTCTCCACCAGAGATGCTCCTGTGAGCTAGTGTCTGGTGTTGTGGATGGAGAGTCTCAGCTGGCCTCTCTGGAGCTAGTTGTATCTTATGCAGGGCAGATTCTCATCCCTTATCTTTCTGTGCTAGTTGCACGGATCTCTCCAAAATATTAATGCTTATTCCTTAAAGTAGGTTCTTATATTTTTCCAGTGACACAAAGGCGGTAGTGGTTTTACAGTCAGCCTGTGACTCCTGAGTTGAAAAGCAGGCAGTGGCTTTGTATCCTTTCTGGTGGTAAGATGGCCTTTTCCAGATCTGTACTGGAAAGGAAGGAGTCTAATTGTGATCTGCTTGTTTGGGGTGTCATTGATAGGCTGGAGCTTTTCATACCACTGACAAAAAATGTCCTCTGCTCAGATAACAGATTTTACCCCAAAACATTGCTAAGGATTTTGGTTATGGATGGGATCCACATCTGGGTTTATGCTATCTCTCAGAAGCCCTCAGCACCCAGCAGAGGACATGCATTGCACTGATCTGTCACCTAGCACTGCCTTCCTCTCTCCTGTGCTCAGAGGCTTTTCTACCAAGTTGCTTTGCTTTCCAGGAGGCTGGGTAAGGGAGGAAAGCTGACAGGGACCATCGGGAGCAGCTGTCCTGTTCCTCAGTTCCAGACCCATGTAGGAGAATCCTAGGCCAGTTTACAGCTCTTGCTCATTGAGCCAATTAAAACCTTGGTCTCCCAGTGCTCCTGTCCTATTTATCTGATTCTGTACTCTCCTGACCTGTTTCTCTGTCCCACCAGCTATTTTGCTGTCGCACTGGGGGAGGAGGGGAGATGAGACAGTCATCTGACTTGTCAATTTGTTTTCCAAACTGCTCAAAACTCCTGAATGTATCTGTTGATACATTTCAAGCTGAAGGGATGACCACGAGTCTTCAGGTTCTCATATAAAACAGTTTCTTTTATATTTTCTTATACAGAAGAGGCTTGGAAAGTGGAGATCAAACAAACTTCTGGGCCTTACTGGGAAAATAAAGATGAGCAGTGGTGATCTATGGGTTAAATCACTACCAAATATTTGCTGTTTCTTCTTATTCTAAACTATGGAACATGCAGCAAATTGCAGACTCTCCATTCACCTAACCTTTACCATCATCTATATGGCATGTTACACTTCAGCGTTAACATACAGAAATTTGGGTATGGACCTATGACCCCATTGCATTGTTTAGCTGTGCTTGAGGTTAGGCTCAGCTTAGAGGAGACAGATGGCTTAACCCGATTCCATCTATCTTGCCTGTCAGGACAGAGCTCATCTCTAAGTCACCTCCTCCCGCGGTCTCAAATTGGATCTGAATTTTCCTGTGTGGTGAACGAGCTGTCACCCTTCTTGCTAGAGTCAGGCTGAACAATTTGGGGTCTGGGAGCATGGTCTAAGACCCTAGCTTGCACAGACCTTACTGGAGACTATTTGCCTGCTATAATTGCCCTTATCTTTCGCTACAGACCTGAGAAGAGAGCTAGGTGCTGCAGAGGCAGGTTCAGAATGAAGCTCCAAGTGAAGATATGTGTGGGCTAATAAAGGCTGCTCAAGCTCTTTGCCATACACCTGTTGTCAGGCATGCTGTGTCCTGGGCTAGTAGCCATTCTCTTAGCAATGCTTTCAACCCTTTCCTCATGAAAGCCATGTTCTCCCCTTTCTGGTGAACACCTTGTTTTCCTCTACCCCAAATTCCTGGGGCAAGAGGGTGTTTGGAGCTGGGGAGAAATCCACATCATTGCGGTATGCAGAGGAGAACATTTCCCAACATGGCCCTTCAATGACATGCTGTTCTGGGTATTACAGGGTTCAGGCAGCACTGTTGATGGACACTTTTTTTGGTAGTCATGGCTGCATTATAATCAGGCTGGGCTCTAGGTACTCTGAGTTTATGCCATGTTCCTGTTGATGCTGCTAAGGCACATCACTTCTATGCTTTTCTCATCTCTCCTGGCCTTCTGTACAAGTTGACAAGCACAATCTCCCAGCCATCCTTCATGTGTAAGTTTGGGAGGCTACTCAAGGTCAAGATCTATGGGTATCATGGTGAGACATCTTCAAAAGGGGTTAAAAAATCAGAATCATCTTAAAGAACAAACAGGGAGTGGAAGAGTTCTTGTGTGATGCAAGTTTCCAGGCTGCAGAGATTTATGTGCATTGTTCTTTTGTGTGACAGATGCCCTGGGGAAAGGGCTGTCTTACCCCTGCTCTGGACATGGTTACGGGCAAGAAAAACAAGACATTTTTTGGCATTGTGTGTGATTGGGGAAGGGACTGTGCAATGAATAAATTAAAGGCACACAAGTGGAGCTGGGTTGTCACGGCAACCAAATAGCTTCTATTGTTCCACAAGGAGTGTTATTACTTACTGCCCCTTGTAGGATAATTAATTAATCCTCAGACATCCTTTCTGGAACAATGGCCCTGGGGCTGGGCAGGCTGAGGAGAGCCCCCACCTCTCCCATCGCTGGGCTTCCTGGCACCTACTGGCTGCGTGATGGTGGGGAACAAGTGCTGCCAGGGACTTGCCACTGCATGATTCAAAAAGTTGTTTTCCATGGGAGTCCAGCTGGACACGGTGCTGTGGAGGAATACAGCTCCATCCGTGATCTAAGCAGCACTCTTTGCCTCCACTCCCATGGGAACTGTACTGCCAAAATGATGTGGTGACATTTCAGTCCCGGAGGCTACAGGGCTCTCTGCTAAGGCAACGCAGCTATGTCTTTATACTGGAGGTTCCCAGACACTGATACACGGAATGCATTGCAATTGTCTGTACAAGCTCAGTGTGTCCTGGTGCCTTGCTGTTACAAAGGCAATGCCTCTCCACCGCCTTGAGGGCCATGCCCCAGTGCCATGCCATGGTATAGTGCAAGTGGAGACGTGTCAGGTTAAAGGAGGTTCCTAGGTGTACTGTAATGATCTCCCAATGATGAGGAACCAGAGTTACTGCTTTTATTTAATAAAAAGACCCCTTGTTCGCTGCAGCTGCTGCCTGTGTGGTCAGCCATATTTCCAAGCTCACTTGCTCAAGTAATGTTTTATTGCTGTGTACTCCTCTTAGCCCTGCTAAGCAATGCTGAGCTGCAGCCTCTGTTCTTGTCAGTGATTAGCAGGATTATTTGCTGAGCCAAGATCAGTGACATCAATTGAAATGCCTGGGAAAGAATGCCAGGGGCCAGGCCGAACAGGTATTGGGGAGGGCACGTTTGACTGGCAGACCCTCTGGGAAGTGCTGCTCCACAAAGATGAAAGGCCTAGCTGGAGACTTTTCAGATCCTGTACAAATTTGCAAGCTGAGGATTTAAAGGCAGACTGAAAGGAGAAATATCGTCACAGTGATGTTCTGTAGCTTAGATGATATGCTAAGCAAGGAAAAATGGTATCTCCCAGTTCTCATTTAAGGAAATAGGCTGGATAATTTATCTGGCAAATGCCATTTTGCTACAGGTGGTTGAGTTGTTGTAAGTGTGCAACAATGTGCAGCTATTTACAGATGCTTGGTCACATATATTGGTGCTCAGTACTATGTTCAGACCTCTTACTATGGTGTCCAGTTACTGAGGAGTCTAGCAGTACTTCTGAACCAGGAGAATGAGAAGTGCTGTCAGTCTGGAGCTCAAGTCACTCTGCAGCTGGAGAAATATGTAAATTTTGGTCCTTGTGGTATGTGGCCTTAATGCTGTCTGAACTCACCAGCAGCTTGGTGCTCTGGGTCAAGCAACCTGCTTTGCTGGATCCAGCTCTGATGGTATCTACTCCCAACTGCTTCAGAAGGAGCTGGAAGTCTTCCCCTGTATGCCCCTTCAATGGACAGCTGAGGACTGGCCTGTTCAGGGTGGACTGCACTGGCTGCACGGTGGGTGTAGAGGTTGGTGCTTCCAGCCGCAGCCTTGTCTCTCTAATCTTTGCGGACATATTTTTCCAGGATCAGACCGTTCAGACTCCCTTCAAGCTATAATGAACTATTTCAATAAAGAAAACAACCAGAAGTTTTTTATGCATTTAAAATAAGAGATGGTTACCCTTCATAACGCTTCAATTTTCCTGCCCTATGATCTGTGCAGTCCTAAACCTGCTCCCCCCTGCGTTTCTGCACGCCATAAACAGCTTGGAGCACGCAGCCTTTGTCGTCGTGATTTCTTTGTGGCTCCTATAATTTATTCATCCCAAGATGCTCTCCTACATCTGCAATAACATTGTTTCAGTTTGTTATAGCACTAGCTTTAAAGTTTTATAAACCTGGTGACAAGTTGAAAAGTTACAAGAGAATTATTGTAGAGGGCTAGTGTAAGAAACAAGGCTTCCAAATAGAAATGT